ACAGAAACGTTACTTAGGGCCACAGAATTGTTACTTAGGGACAGACACAGAATTGTTACTGAGGGACACAGAATTGTTACTGAGGGCCACAAGAACCGTTTAGGGGCCACAGAAACGTTACTTAGGGCCACAGAATTGTTACTTAGGGACAGACACAGAATTGTTACTGAGGGACACAGATTTGTTACTGAGGGCCACAGAAAACGTTACTTAGGGCCACAGAAACGTTACTTAGGGCCACAGAATTGTTACTTAGGGCCACAGAATTGTTACTTAGGGACACAGAATTGTTACTTAGGGACAGACACAGAATTGTTACTGAGGGACACAGAATTGTTACTGAGGGCCACAGAATTGTTACTTAGGGCCACAGAAACGTTACTTAGGGCCACAGAATTGTTACTTAGGGCAGACACAGAATTGTTACTGAGGGACACAGAGAATGTTACTGAGGGCCACAGAAATTGTTACTTAGGGCCACAGAAACGTTACTTAGGGCCACAGAAACGTTACTTAGGGCCACAGAAACGTTACTTAGGGCCACAGAAACACTTAGGGACACAGAATTGTTACTCAGGGACAGACACAGAATTGTTACTGAGGGGACACAGAATTGTTACTGAGGGCCACAGAATTTTACTTAGGGCCACAGAAACGTTACTTAGGGCCACAGAATTGTTACTTAGGGACAGACACAGAATTGTTACTGAGGGACACAGAGAATTGTTACTGAGGGCACAGAATTGTTACTTAGGGCCACAGAAACGTTACTTAGGGCACAGAATTGTTACACAGGGAACGTTTACTTAGGGCCACAGAATTGTTACTTAGGGCCACAGAATTGTTACTGAGGGCCACAGAATTTACTTAGGGCCACAGAAACGTTACTTAGGGCCACAGAATTGTTACTTAGGGACAGACACAGAATTGTTACTGAGGGACACAGAATTGTTACTTAGGGCCACAGAAACGTTACTTAGGGCCACAGAAACGTTACTTAGGGCCACAGAATTGTTACTTAGGGGACAGAATTGTTACTGAGGGACAGACACAGAATTGTTACTGAGGGACACAGATTTGTTACTGAGGGCCACAGAAACGTTACTTAGGGCCACAGAAACGTTACTTAGGGCCACAGAATTGTTACTTAGGGCCACAGAAACGTTACTTAGGGAACACAGAATTGTTACTAGGGACCACAGAATTGTTACTTAGGGACAGACACAGAATTGTTACTGAGGGACACAGAATTGTTACTGAGGGCCACAGAATTGTTACTTAGGGCCACAGAAACGTTACTTAGGGCCACAGAATTGTTACTTAGGGACAGACACAGAATTGTTACTGAGGGGACCACAGAAACGTTACTTAGGGCCACAGAATTGTTACTTAGGGCCACAGACACAGAATTGTTACTTAGGGCCACAGAAACGTTACTTAGGGCCACAGAATTGTTACTTAGGGCCACAGAAACGTTACTTAGGGCCACAGAATTGTTACTTAGGGCCACAGAATTGTTACTTAGGGACAGACACAGAATTGTTACTGAGGGACACAGAATTGTTTGTTACTGAGGGCCACAGAAACGTTACTTAGGGCCACAGAAACGTTACTTAGGGCCACAGAATTGTTACTTAGGGCCACAGAAACGTTACTTAGGGGGACACAGAATTGTTACTCAGGGACAGACACAGAATTGTTACTGAGGGACACAGAATTGTTACTGAGGGCCACAGAATCGTTACTTAGGGCCACAGAAACGTTACTTAGGGCCACAGAATTGTTACTTAGGGCCAGACACAGAATTGTTACTGGGAGGGACACAGAATTTGTTACTGAGGGACACAGAATTGTTACTTAGGGCCACAGAATTGTTACTTAGGGCCACAGAATTGTTACTTTACTTAGGGCCACAGAAACGTTACTTAGGGCCACAGAATTGTTACTTTGGGACAGACACAGAATTGTTACTGAGGGACACAGAATTGTTACTGAGGGCCACAGAAACGTTACTTAGGGCCACAGAAACGTTACTTAGGGCCACAGAATTTACTTAGGGCCACAGAAACGTTACTTAGGGACACAGAATTGTTACTTAGGGACAGACACAGAATTGTTACTGAGGGACACAGAATTGTTACTGAGGGCCACAGAAATCGTTACTTAGGGGCCACAGAAACGTTACTTAGGGCCACAGAATTGTTACTTAGGGACAGACACAGAATTGTTACTTAGGGCACAGAATTGTTACTGAGGGACACAGAATTGTTACTTAGGGCCACAGAATTGTTACTTAGGGCCAGAATTGAAACGTTACTTAGGGCCACAGAATTGTTACTTAGGGCCACAGAAATTGTTACTTAGGGCCACAGAATTGTTACTTAGGGCCACAGAAACGTTACTTAGGGACCACAGAATTGTTACTTAGGGACAGACACAGAATTGTTACTTGAGGGACACAGAATTGTTACTGAGGGCCACAGAAACGTTACTTAGGGCCACAGAAACGTTACTTAGGGCCACAGAATTGTTACTCAGGGACAGACACAGAATTGTTACTGAGGGACAGACACACAGAATTGTTACTGAGGGACACAGAATTGTTACTGAGGGACACAGAAACGTTACTTAGGGGACACACAGAATTGTTACTCAGGGCACACAGAATTGTTACTGAGGGACACAGAATTGTTACTGAGGGACACAGAATTGTTACTGAGGGACACAGAATTGTTACTTAGGGCCACACAGAATTGTTACTCAGGGACAGACACAGAATTGTTACTGAGGGACACAGAATTGTTACTGAGGGACACAGAAACCGTTACTTAGGGCCACAGAATGTTACTTAGGGCCACAGAATTTTACTTAGGGCCACAGAATTGTTACTTAGGGCCACAGAATTGTTACTTAGGGCCACAGAATTGTTACTTAGGGCCACACAGAAACGTTACTTAGGGCCACAGAATTGTTACTCAGGGGACACAGAATTGTTACTGAGGGACACAGAATTTGTTACTTAGGGCCACAGAATTGTTACTTAGGGACCACAGAAACGTTGTTACTCAGGGACAGACACAGAATTGTTACTCAGGGACACAGAATTGTTACTCAGGGACAGACACAGAATTGTTACTGAGGGACACAGAATTGTTACTGAGGGCCACAGAAACTTAGGGCCACAGAAACGTTAGGGAACACAGAATTGTTACTCAGGGACAGACACAGAATTGTTACAGAGGGACAGGACAGAATTGTTACTGAGGGACACAGAATTGTTACTTAGGGCCACAGAAACGTTTACTTAGGGCCACAGAATTGTTACTTAGGGCCACAGAATTGTTACTTAGGGGACAGACACAGAATTGTTACTTAGGGCCACAGAATTGTTACTGAGGGACAGAAACGTTACTTTAGGGCCACAGAATTGTTACTTAGGGACAGACACAGAATTGTTACTGAGGGACACAGAATTGTTACTGAGGGCCACAGAACCGTTACTTAGGGCCACAGAATTGTTTTTAGGGACACACAGAATTGTTACTCAGGGACAGACACACAGAATTGTTACTAGGGGACAGACACAGAATTGTTACTGAGGGACACAGAATTGTTACTGAGGGACACAGAATTGTTACTCAGGGACACAGAATTGTTACTCAGGGACACAGAATTGTTACTGAGGGACACAGAATTGTTACTGAGGGACACAGAATTTGTTACTCAGGGACACAGAATTGTTACTGGGACAGGGTGCACAGAATTGTTACTGAGGGGACACAGAATTGTTACTGAGGGCCCACAGAATTGTTACTTAGGGCCACAGAAACGTTACTCAGGGGACACAGAATTGTTACTCAGGGACAGACACAGAATTGTTACTCAGGGACACAGAATCGTTGAATTGAGTTGTCAGGTCAACATGCAGAGGAGTTGCTGAGGAGGCAATGTTTTTTAGGAGCATAGGGTGTGGCAGGCAGAGGAACGGGTCCCATAGGCTGCCAGCACTAATCTGCCAGAGGCCCCTGTGCTCCTCATGTGCTCCAGGTCCAGCGGTCCTGTACGGCCTCCATCGTGTCTACATCACAACCTGCCGTCATCGATTGGTTGGCTCGGTCGTCTTCCTCTTCCCAGGTCACCTCTGACATAGGTACAGCCAGACGGTCGGTGGGTACGTCAGACACAAATTGTTATCTTGGCATGGCCCGGGGAGCAAGCCACTGAAATCACGTGTCCTCTACTGCTGCCACTGCCCCTGTCTGCCATGGGTTCCCTCACCAAGCCCAGTATCGCATGCTGTGGGCTCAGCCCCACTGTACAGTGAGGAAGAGCTAACAGAGGGCGCCTCAGGAACGGGGGGAGACATCCGCCTCTTCAGCAGCCAGGCGAAGATTAGTGGCGAGGAGAGTGGCTCGGTAGCCGGGCTAGAGACAGGTCTGTCTCCTGACCCACACGCAGCAGGGGGGGGCTAGTAGTGAGGCGGAGGAGACCCTAATTGATGATGATGAGGCTGATCCTCACACTGCTTGGCAGCCTCGTTTGTCATCAGGCTATTGCTTCAGATCATACAGGAGAAGAGCTGCCAGTGGCAGCTGCCATGGGCAGCGAGCAACAGTCGGTGGGTTGCTCTCCATGGGTCCCTGCCACACTCTGCTGCCCATGTGCCACTTTCAGGTCTCCTCACACACTGCTGGTGTGTTCCATTTTTTGTCATAGGGTGCTGGCAGATTACGGGCCTCCCATAGCTGCTGCCAGGCCCCTAATCTGCCATGGGCCCCTGTACCGCCTCCTCATGCTGCTGCCAGGTCCAGAGTCTCTCATGGGTCCCTGTACGCCTCCCATTGCTGCTGTCTCCATCGCCACACTCTGCCATGTGCCACTTTCAGGTCTCCTCACACTGCTGGTGTGTTCCATTTTTTGTCATAGGGTGCTGGCAGATTACGGGCCTCCCATAGCTGCTGCCAGGCCCCTAATCTGCCATGGGCCCCTGTACCGCCTCCTCATGCTGCTGCCAGGTCCAGAGTCTCTCATGGGTCCCTGTACGGCCTCCCATTGCTGCTGTCTCCATCGCCACACTCTGCCATGTGCCACTTTCAGGTCTCCTCCTCACACTGCTGGTGTGTTCCATTTTTTGTCATAGGGTGCTGGCAGATTACGGGCCTCCCATAGCTGCTGCCAGGCCCCTAATCTGCCATGGGCCCCTGTACCGCCTCCTCATGCTGCTGCCAGGTCAGGTCCACAGTGTCTCATGCCATGTGCCACACTTTCAGGTCTCCTCACACTGCTGGTGTGTTTCAATTTTTTGTCATAGGGTGCTGGCAGATTACGGGCCTCCCATAGCTGCTGCTGCCAGGCCCCTAATCTGCCATGGGCCCCTGTACCGCCTCCTCATGCTGCTGCCAGGTCCAGAGTCTCTCATGGGTCCCTGTACGGCTCCTCCCCATTGCTGCTGTCTCCATCGCCACACTCTGCCATGTGCCACTTTCAGGTCTCCTCACACACTGCTGGTGTGTTCCATTTTTTGTCATAGGGTGCTGGCAGATTACGGGCCTCCCATAGCTGCTGCCAGGCCCCTAATCTGCCATGGGCCCCTGTACCGCCTCCTCATGCTGCTGCCAGGTCCAGAGTCTCTCATGGGTCCCTGTACGGCCTCCCATTGCTGCTGTCTCTGTCTCCATCGCCACACTCTGCCATGTGCCACTTTCAGGTCTCCTCACACTGCTGGTGTGTTCCATTTTTTGTCATAGGGTGCTGGCAGATTACGGGCCTCCCATAGCTGCTGCCAGGCCCCTAATCTGCCATGGGCCCCTGTACCGCCTCCTCATGCTGCTGCCAGGTCCAGAGTCTCTCATGGGTCCCTGTACGGCCTCCCATTGCTGCTGTCTCCATCGCCACACTCTGCCATGTGCCACTTTCAGGTCTCCTCACACACTGCTGGTGTGTTCCATTTTTTGTCATAGGGTGCTGGCAGATTACGGGCCTCCCATAGCTGCTGCCAGGCCCCTAATCTGCCATGGGCCCCTGTACCGCCTCCTCATGCTGCTGCCAGGTCCAGAGTCTCTCATGGGTCCCTGTACGGCCTCCCATTGCTGCTGTCTCCATCGCCACACTCTGCCATGTGCCACTTTCAGGTCTCCTCACACTGCTGGTGTGTTCCATTTTTTGTCATAGGGTGCTGGCAGATTACGGGCCTCCCATAGCTGCTGCCAGGCCCCTAATCTGCCATGGGCCCCTGTACCGCCTCCTCATGCTGCTGCCAGGTCCAGAGTCTCTCATGGGTCCCTGAACGCCTCCCATTGCTGCTGTCCCATCGCCACATCGCCACACTCTGCCATGTGCCACTTTCAGGTCTCCTCACACTGCTGGTGTGTTCCATTTTTTGTCATAGGGTGCTGGCAGATTACGGGCCTCCCATAGCTGCTGCCAGGCCCCTAATCTGCCATGGGCCCCTGTACCGCCTCCTCATGCTGCTGCCAGGTCCAGAGTCTCTCATGGGTCCCTGTACGGCCTCCCATTGCTGCTGTCTCCATCGCCACACTCTGCCATGTGCCACTTTCAGGTCTCCTCACACTGCTGGTGTGTTCCATTTTTTGTCATAGGGTGCTGGCAGATTACGGGCCTCCCATAGCTGCTGCCAGGCCCCTAATCTGCCATGGGCCCCTGTACCGCCTCCTCATGCTGCTGCCAGGTCCACAGTGTCTCATGCCATGTGCCACTTTCAGGTCTCCTCACACTGCTGGTGTGTTCCATTTTTTGTCATAGGGTGCTAGCAGATTACGGGCCTCCCATAGCTGCTGCCAGGCCCCTAATCTGCCATGGGCCCCTGTACCGCCTCCTCATGCTGCTGCCAGGTCCAGAGTCTCTCATGGGTCCCTGAACCGCCTCCCATTGCTGCTGTCTCCATCGCCACACTCTGCCATGTGCCACTTTCAGGTCTCCTCACACTGCTGGTGTGTTCCATTTTTTGTCATAGGGTGCTGGCAGATTACGGGCCTCCCATAGCTGCTGCCAGGCCCCTAATCTGCCATGGGCCCCTGTACCGCCTCCTCATGCTGCTGCCAGGTCCACAGTCTCTCATGGGTCCCTGTACGGCCTCCCATTGCTGCTGTCTCCATCGCCACACTCTGCCATGTGCCACTTTCAGGTCTCCTCACACTGCTGGTGTGTTCCATTTTTTGTCATAGGGTGCTGGCAGATTACGGGCCTCCCATAGCTGCTGCCAGGCCCCTAATCTGCCATGGGCCCCTGTACCGCCTCCTCATGCTGCTGCCAGGTCCAGAGTCTCTCATGGGTCCCTGTACGGCCTCCCATTGCTGCTGTCTCCATCGCCACACTCTGCCATGTGCCACTTTCAGGTCTCCTCACACACTGCTGGTGTGTTCCATTTTTTGTCATAGGGTGCTGGCAGATTACGGGCCTCCCATTGCTGCTGCCAGGCCCGTAATCTGCCATGGGCCCCTGTACCGACTCCTCATGCTGCTGCCAGGCCCGTAATCTGTCATGGGCCCCTGTTGTCGCTTGTTGGCATATTCCGCTCGTTCAGATGCTCCTTCTCCTGCTACTCCTCTTCACGGATTCCGTCAGCAGTCTTTCTTGGAATCCGTTTCCAAGAGACAACAGTTTGCGAGCACGCACCCGACGGTGCAGAAGCTGAATGTCCTCCTGTCCAAGTTGCTGCTGCCAGGCTCGTAATCTGTCATGCGCCCCTGTACCGCCTCCTCATGCTGCTGCCAGGTCCAGAGTGTGTCATGGGCCCCCGTACCGACCCCTCATGCTGCTGCCAGGCCAAAAGTTGCCAAAAGTATTAGAACACCTGCCTTTACACGCACATGAACTTTAATGGCATCTCAGTCTTAGTCTGTAGAGTTCAATATTGAGTTGGCCCACCCTTTGCAACTATAACAGCTTCAACTCTTCTGGGAAGGCTGTCCACAAGGTTTAGGAGTGTGTCTATGGAAATGTTTGACCATTTTTCCAGAAACACATTTGTGAGGTCAAACACTGATGTCGGACGAGAAGGCCTGGCTCACAGTCTCCGATCTAATTCATCCCAAAAGGTGTTCTATAAGGTTGAGGTCAGGACTCTGTGCAGGCCAGACAAAGTCCTCCACCCCAAACTCTCTTTGTGCACTGGTGTGCAGTCATGTTGGAACAGGAAGGGGCCATCCCCAAACTTTTCCCACAAAGTTGGAAGCAGGATATTGACCACAATGTCTTGGTATTCTGAGGCCTTAAGAGTTCCCTTCACTGGAACTAAGGGTCCAAGCCCAACCTCTGAAAAACAGCGACACATCAAAATCCCCCTCCGCCAAACTGTACACTTGGCACAATGCAGTCAGGCAAGTACCGTTCTGCTGGCAACCGCCAAACCCAGACACATCAATTGGATTTCCAGACAGAGAAGCGTGATTTGTCACTCTAGAGAACATGTATCCACTGCTCTAGAGTCCAGTGGTGGTGTGCTTTACATTGCTGCATCCGAAGCTTTGCATTGCACTTGGTGGTGTAAGGCTTGGATGCAGATGCTCGGCCATGGAAACCCATTCCATGAAGCTCTCTATGCTCTGTTGTTGTGCTAATCTGAAGACCACATGAAGTTTGGAGGTCTTGAGCTATTGACTCTGCAGACAGTTGGTGACTTCTGTTCATTGTGAGCTTCAACATGCGATGACCCTGCTCTCATTTTTTGTGGCCTACCACTTCATGGATGAGTTGCTGTTGTTCCCAGTTGCTTCCAGTTTGTTAAAATACCACTAACAGTTGACTGTGGAATATTTAGTAGCAAGGAAATTTTACAGATGGACTCATTGCACAGGTGGCAACCTATCATAGTACCACCCTTGAATTCACTGAGTTCCTGAGAGCAACCCATTCTTTCACAAATGTTTATACACCTGTGACCATGGAGGTGATTGGAACACCTGAATCCAATGATTTGGAGGGGTGTCCCAATACGTTTGGCAATAGTATGTTGGCAATGTGTTGTCCTTCCTCTATATTGTTTCCTCTATATTGTTTCCCGCCTATATATTGGTTCATTCCTATAGGTAAGGGCTATTGGTTTTCTAGAAAATGTCTGCTATGGATTTAGTAACACCTCTCAGGAAAATGGCAGTCAGACCTCAATAAAATAAAATGGCTGGCAGATTAGATATTAGCATTGAAGGATAAAAATCCCAAGGAAAATGTCCACTGAGCTTCGGAAAAATGGCCAACGTATGATATTTTTATGTTATAGATCTAAAATCTTAGGGACAATGGTCACTGTACTTCGGCAAAATGGCCGATGATCATGTAGATCCAAAATCTCAGTAGAGATTATATAGTATAGTTATATGACGGATGCAAGGTGGTTCTCTCGTTCTGGGAGGACGTCATATAACGTCCTCCCATTCTCACCACGCATGCGCGGCTCAGGGAGTGCTCAGGAAGCGCGCAGCATGGCGATCGGCGGTGCGCTGTGTCCCTCGGACACAGCGGATCATCGATCACGGAAAGAGCCAAAGATGTCGGCTCGGTCATGTGGTCAGCTGTGTCCAATCACAGCTGATCACATGTAAACAGGGAAATGCCAGTTATCGGCATTTCTCTCCTCTCGAGCTGTCACTCTGACAGCTCGTGAGGAGAAGAGAGCCGGTAATCGGCTTTCCGCAGAGGGGACATGTACACTGATCATCAGGGCACTGATGATCAGTGTGCCCTGATGATCAGTGTAGCCCCAGCAGTGCCACCTATCAGTGGCCTTCAGTGCCTTGTGTCAGTGCTCATCAGTATCACGTGCCAGTGCCCATCAGTGCCACATCAATGCCACATATCAGTGCCTACCAGTGCATATCAATGCCACAAATCAGTGCCTATCTGAGCTGCCTTTCAGTGTCACTCATCAGTGCCAGTCAGTGCCACCTATTAATGCCAATCAGTGCCACCTATCAGTGCTGCCAATCAGTGCCACCTATCAGTACCAGTCAGTGTTGCCTATGTGTGCCAGTCAGTGCCACCTATCAGTGCGCATCAGTGCCGCCTGTCAGTGCCGCCTAACAGTGCCAGTCAGTGCCGCCTCACAGTGCCAGTCAGTGCCACCTATCAGTGCGAGTCAGTGCCGCCTATCAGTACCATGTATCTGTGCTGCCTTTCCGTGCCCATCAGTGATGCCTGTCAATGCCCATCAATGCCACCTACCAGTGCCTCCTCATCAGTGCCCATCAGTGGCACCTATCAGTGTCCATCAGTGCAGCCTATCAGTGCCAATCACTGCAGCCTCATTAGCGCACATCAGTGAAGGAAAAAAATCACTTATTTACAAAATTTTCAGTGTTTTTTGGTTTGTTTAAGGAAAAATAAAAAACCCAGAGGTGTTTAAATGCCACCAAAATAAAGCTCTGTCACAAAAAAATGATAAAAATTTTATATGGGTACAGTGTTGCATGACCGCACAATTGTCACTCAAAGTGCGACAGCGCTGAAAGCTGGAAATCGGCCTGGGCAGGAAGGCGGTATAAGTGCCCTGTAGGATTGTGGTTAAAGAGACCATGTCTCTATACCATTAATTTCAACAAAACTCTTTGCATAATATTATATGTGAATTTAACATATGTAGGGATCTGCTGCCCTCTACTGTTAGCTGCTAATATCACAAAGTTATATATACTTAGGTATTAGCACTTCCTGTCTGCGGGTGTATGGCTTAAAAATCCCAGAACAAAGAAGGAGAGAGAGAGAGAGAGGGGGGGGGGCTAACACCACATGTCCACATATAGGAGCTGCATTACTGCAATACTGTACTTTATCCTGACCGGAAGCAGAGCCTATTAGGAAATTGTTCCTGTGTTCTGGTTTTTTAACTGTGGCTGCCCATAACTTCTTGATCTGAATTCTAATTACAGACAAATCTCTGTCCTATTGTTGTTGTCT